CACTTTGTAGTTTTTAAATTTTATAAATAAGGGACACCCTAATATACATATTAGGGTGCCTCTTATTTTTGAAAAAATTTGATAAGTGCTGCCCGGAAATTTTTTCCTATTGGTCTAAGTATAAGATCTACAAAATATGAGCTTCATATAATATGATTAACAGGATGCACTCTAAGCTCAAAGTTTTAGAAAAATTCAAAAATTAGTACTTTTTTTTATTGTCTGGTTAAGTTTTTGATCTTAAAGAAAAATATAATGAGCTTTTTTGTATATATAGTTATATGCTACAATTAATGTCTGAAGTATTTTTTCACAAAGTTTGTCGTTTCTTGTAAAAAAATAAAAAACTATATATAATTTACATTTTACGAAAATGGCTTAATTTTTTGTTTTTGTAAATATCTTTACAAATATTAATCGAAAAAAAAAACATATATAATCAATGCTTTAATAAATAATTTTTACTAAAAAAAATATTATTACACCAATTTTCATAGAACGAACTCTTAAGGGTTAAATTTAGGAAATAAATAAAAATAACTGAATTTTTCTGAAAATTTAAAAAAAAAAATCTCTCACGATAAATTTATTTTGAGTTCAATTTTATAAATTACGTTAAAGAAATATAAATTTATAGGCTCTTTGTTGATTTTATTCTAAAAACTTTAAGAGGAGTTCTATTTTTTTTTAATTTTTTTAGTTTTAACATTTAAATGTTTGATTAATGCATTTTTTGTTGTTTGAGGATACCTTGATCTATAATCTTTGACAGTCAGACGGGAAAATATGTAAAAAGCTTTCAATTTTAAAACGTTGAAATATATTTGCCGATTTTTTGACTAACGATGATACTAAAAATTTTTCGTCTGATTTACTTAAAAATGTGGCAATTTCACTTATTTTTAAATTAAATTTTTTTGCGTTACTTTCAGCCTCGTCGATTTCGGTTGGCATCGTTATATTCTGAACCATTCATTATTTAAGTCGATTCATTCATCGAATAAAGCAAATCCAGCACATTCTTCGGTTAAATAGTAAAGATGATTTATAAATTTACCAAAAGCTTCCTCTGAAATAGTTATGTCTATTTCTTCATATTTTTTTAATTCTCTTAAAAATTTTATGTCATTTAATGGAGCAGATACGGCATCAAAAGCATAAATCCAATACACAACATAACATCTCACAATAAAGGACGAAAATTGAAATAGTGAATTTTTCTAATTTTGTTAATTTAAATTCTGTTCAAAATTAGTATAATTTTAAAGCATTTATGGCTTTAACCATCCACTTTGCCATGTGATATGCTCCCGGTTTTCTAAATTTTATTCAACCTGGAGGCACACCACCAAGATAAATAATTGAGAGATCTAAAAGCTCACGGTAGTCATCACAGGGCATTTTTTTTGAAATGGCAGTTGTGAGTGACGTCAAAATTTCATTTTTATTTTTGTACTTCTGGACAACTTATGCCTGGAATAAAATTTTCAGTATTTATTTATGACCAATTAGTTTTAAATCTTTTGAATAAAGGTATGTCTGATCCTGATACATTAAATTTACATTAAGTAAAAACTGCTGCGAGTATAATTTCGAACACGTGATGTCGACATCCAAATTACAACACTTCTCTTTCCAACTTCTTTTCCAATAAAGTACAAGCGTTTTTTAATCTACCCGTGTGTGCCGCTGGTGGATCAAAACAAAAAGCTTGAACATTTTCTTTTAAGTTCCATTCTTCTAAATTATCATATATAGCTGATGCTATTTCATTTCCAGTTGCATATGGTATTTCTGAAACTCCAAAAAGCTGTTCGATATTTGTACTTGTGCCAATTATAGACAGCCTTTTACTGGTTTCCCTGGACCAATTTCTTTCAAAAATACGTCAAAAGATCACAAATCGTATCTAGTTGAAGACATTACCCTTAAAAATTGAAAATAATTCCCTTGTTCCCCGCAAATGGGGGAAATGTCCAAAAAAATTACAAATTTAAAAATCGATAATTTTTTCAATTTTTCTTACTTAAAATTGACATAACTTTTTGAAAAATCAACACATCTACATAATTTTTTTTTATACTAAAACCATAGGTATTTACCTTTCATTTGATACCATTTTTTTGAAAATCTATCACTTAACCGCTCATTGGGGGGGATTTAAACTTGCAACTTTTTTACAAAAAATAACTTTTTCAACTTAATTTTTGAAAATGTTCCGGAAATACTGCGTCCTTCAAACATATATCAAATTAAAGCTTATTTTATGTACTATAAAATGAAAAAAAAAAATTTGTCCCGACACTTTTTCTTCTACATTTAAACGGCTGCCGTAGTTAAAAAAACACTATTTCTGTGTTAAAATTTTCGATTTTAAATTTTCAACTTAAAAATGCTATAACTTTTTGAAAAATGTATATATCAGCAAAATTTTTTTTCTCTAAATACATTATAAGTACATCTTTCATTTGACATACTTTTTATTAAAATTGGACAATTTTCTCTTATAAAGGGGGCGTTCAAAACTTGAAATATTGTAAAAAACATAGATCTTTCTCAATTGAACTTTTGAAAATGTTCCGGAAATACTGCGTCCTTTAAACATACATAAAATTAAAGCTTATTTTATGTACTACAAAATGAAAAAAAAAAAAATTTGTCCCGACGACATATCTTCTATACACAAATGGCTGCCGTATTCAAAAATATGCTATTTTTGTATTAAAATTATGGGTTTTGTATTTTATTTTAATAGAAGTTGATGTTGATTTTGCAATTATCCATTAATTTTTTAAAATTAAACACTACCTACAGATTTGCATCGAAGCGTTTCTTATGATAGTGATTTTAATCACTTTCAGATTAAATGTATACTGGATCTAACTATGTAATGTCTCCAATATGCCGCGACTCCACTGTGCTACCGTTTTTTTTACTTAAAACTGCCATAACTTTTTCAAAAGTTAATAAATCAATATAATTTTTTTTTTTATAGATGCTTGATGTCTTTACCTATTATTTGGTATATTTTTTTTTATAAATTTAACCCTTTACCAGCCAACAGAATGGGATTTAATATGATAACTATTTCACAAAAAATTAACTTTTTCAACTTAACTTTTGAAAAAGGTCTGACACTTTTATATTATCTTAAATTAAAGCTAATGTAATATACTTTATTATAAAAAAAAAAATGTCGGACTTTATTTTGTCTTCATGGTGAAAATAACTACCATATGCTATTTTTGTATTAAAAATTTCGATTTTATATGAAATAATATTTATATACCTCTTTCATTCGACATACTTTTTTTTTAAATCTGACCATTTCTCTTAATACAGGGAGGGTTCAAAACATAAAAATGCATATAGAAAGTATATATCTTAAATTAAAGCTTATGTAATAAAATTTAATATTAAAAAAAAAAATTTCGGACTTTATTTTGTCTTCATGGAAAAAATAGCTACCGTATTCAAAAATATGCTATTTTTGCAAAAAAATTCTTAATATTGTATTTTATTTTATTATAAGGGGATTACACACACTGATTTTCATAAATATTATGTCAATCAAATTGACATAGTATAAAATGTTAAACATATATAAATTATTTTGTTTCTTTGAAGTCGAGAAAAATAACTTTAAAATTTGAACTAGCGAAATTTCCATTTTTATTAAGTGACGAATGCGAGGTACGATTTCTGAGACGGTAACACTGTGGCACTGAATTTTTTCTTAATTCTTTTTGAGTTAGAAAAAAATGTTTAATTCATTTGATTTTTATCTCATTTAAATTCAATAACTTCAATAAATATCATGGATACCATTACTGCAGTCTCCTCTCGTGAGAAGAAATTCATATCAATATTATTTTACTATGTGGTTTTTTTTTTTGTGGCTATCATTTATTTTCTCAGTTCTCACTTGACCTACTTTTTTGACAATTTTTTTTTTTTTTTTTAATTAAACGCTATCTACAGATTTGCATCGAAGCGTTTTTTATGATAGTGATTTTAATCACTGTCAGATATCATATATACTGAACCCAACAATGCCACGACCCCACTGTGCCGCCACCTCACTGTAATGGGTTTTTTTTGTTTAGTAAAAATTATTTACTAAAACATTGATCATATGTGTTTTTTATTTACGATTAATGTTTGTAAAGGTAGTTTTAATATAGTTAAATTTAGTTTAATATAGTTTAAATGGAGTGATTATTTGTCAATAAATTTTCATCAACTAAAGATTTCTCAATTTCTTGATTTATAATGTTTTTTAATGCTCTTTAACCCTGACCCCTATATTTCTTTTTCCTACGTATATTCCTATATTCCTACGTAATATTGAGGCTTTTTGAGTTTAATATTTTTTATATTTATTAATTTTTAATTAATGATTGTAGTAATTAGATGAGTAAGTATTAAATTACGTCGATTTTAGTATAATATTAGCTATACAATAGTAGTAAGCAATTTTTGAACTCTTAAGCAATATAATAATTCCATATAAAAGGGAAATGCAGGGTAAGCAAATTAATAATGGTGGGAAAAAGAATATAAAAGGGAAACATGAAAAGGAGACTAGACGTTTTTGACTAATAAACATCGAGTGATGGGTCAGGAGGTTGGNGAGACTAGACGTTTTTGACTAATAAACATCGAGTGATGGGTCAGGAGGTTGGACGCGAGTATCTTTGTACGATTTAATTTTGTTTTGTGTTATATTTTACTATTACTTTTTAACTTTCTGTTTAATTCGTTTCTTAAATAAAATAACTATTTAAAAACTGGACTTAGCGTAAATAAATTATATTCATCGTGTTCTTAAA